AGGGTCTAACGGTCCAGCGACAACACAACCAAAAAACAACAACAAACAAGAGTTGCCGACGGCACAGCCCTACGGAGTGTCCGATTCTCCCTTTCCCTTTAAGTGGGTTTGCGGCCCACAGTAGCTCGAGTCCCTGATAGGGGGGGGCAAAAGGAAGAGGCCCGCCCCGAGACGGATGGTGGTAGAGTCTTGTACAGGCAGTTGCTCGGCGAGTTCGGGGCGGTAATAAGGAAGCCGGGCCCGATGGGTCGTAAATCCAATGCTCGCGAAGCGCCTGTTACACCTTATACCCTTGATAAGGTCTTCGACGGGGGCGTCGCAACGCAGCCCGACGGGAATTAGCAAACACGTAGCAGCGCTACACCTCCGTACTGCCCGATGGCAAAGTACCGACACCGGAACGGTCGCAACCTGTATCCGATGGAACCAACACTGTCCTGTATACACAACAGGACCTTCGAGGGAAACGTCGTTGCAACAGCCTCCGTCGGTAAACGTAAACAAGTAGCAGCGCTACACCCCCGTGTCGCCCGATGGCCAAGACACCTACCCCGGTCCGGTCGCAACCAAAGCCGATGGCACCAACAACAAACAAAAGAACTAACACAAGAGCCCGATGACTCAAGTCTACACAATGCGGATCGCAATCAGGCACTGTGGAACCAACACAAGATAAGGGAATAGAAATAGAGATAGAAATAGAAAAGGATAGGTGAAATAAAGGAAAAGGAAAGGGAACCCCCGAGCGCAAAGGATAACGTAATCTGTGGTAAAAGGGAGAGTCTTGGGAAAGACGGACTTCGACCAAGGCGATATTCAACTCTGGCAACTCGGGTTACCTTTACTGACTTGGTGGTCAGAGGGCTAAGGTATATATCGCCCCGCCGGAGCCACTACAGCGGCTCGCGGCGCTAGATCCTAGATCTAATCTAGTGTCAGCAAAATTAATGCCAACTAATTAACTAAATAAAATAAAATAATTAAAAATTAAAACTGTGCAGTTATTCACACGTGTGTCCCCCAACCCGGACTACTTTTCATATCCAAATATTTTCCTTTCTTTTCACCCCCCCGTAGAGCCCATTATTGCACTACAGGAATGCAGTCGTATGGGTCTACCTTTCAGGTTATCGGGTACGATGCTAATCATCAGCTCTGCCGTATGGTCTTTGCGCACTTCGTTGGTCCTGAGAACCAAGAGTCCTGGGGAAAGGTCTTTCAGGCATGTGCAGAAACTACTTGTTTTGATAGTAGTAGGAGGGTGACAATTGTCGATCAAGAAAAATCCATCGACGCAGCCTACCGGGACGTGATGAAAATGCTTCGTTGTTCCTTGATCCTCTTAATGTTAAGAAGAACATGTCCGGGCGATTAGGATCCAACAAGGGCGTCGGAATTCGTTTATATGAACGAGCAGTAAATGCTCCGTCACGAGAACAGGTCTGCGCTCTGAAGACAGATTTTTCTGCGAAACAAAAGGCATATCTGGATAGGTTCAAAGATTCTGAAGTATGTAGGGCATTTTCAGACTTACAGGACCTTATTACCACTTCGCAAGGAGCAGAAAGCCAGATGTCGGCTGATCTTAGGAATAATATTCGTTTTGTGGAGCCTCAGAAGATGCTGTCAAAGGTCGTGCTTCTGCAGAGAACAAATTTTTTGCGTCGTCAGGACAGTGCCCTGTCTTGTTCAGGTTCGGTCCCGCCTCGCACACAGAACCATCTCGCATACCTAATTCAGAGAGCTCGTGCATATCGGTCTTCCGTTCGTTTTCTGGATGGGACATCGCAAATGGAAGCTACCGTAGCTAGTCAGCAAAACGGAACTGTTATGCGTCTTGTAAGGCTTAGCAAGAATCCGCAAACCCCCCCTTTATGCTGCGCTTACTCTACAAATGGATCTGGATTCCCCTGTTGGCATAGAGTCTCTGTTGTCCTCAAAAAGTATGGACCAAGCAATCTTCATCGATTCATTGAAGCGCGTCATCTAACATTAGCCTGGGTCAAGCAGTACGAAAATGTGGAGTACAGTCTTCCTTCACAAGCTGTGGTCGACGACATTTTATTCAATGCAAAGACTCTGGTTGCAAAGAGGCAGAATCTGCAAATTCCCAAAGCTTTGCCGCCGCCACAGGGTCGTCCGGTTAGGAGAGCGGGTAGGCGAAGAAAAACCTGGTACGAAAAAGGCCCTGCTGCCAAGAAGAAGCGTGTCTACTCCTGTTCTTTGTGTCGGATGGCAGATCACACAGTGAAGGACTGCTCTCTGAAACAGCTGTATGGGGATACCGCAGAGTAGGGGATACCGCAGAGTAGCCGCTCTTTTAGTATCGCCTTAGTATCCGATTTCGCCTGTCATGTAGCACAATATATTGCACTGTCCACTTTTTTCAGATTCTGTCGCCCCTCCCGAACAACCAACTTCTTTGCGGTCACCCCCTGTTGAGTACGTCGCCTATACGATCCCTACAAATAATTCTTTATCGGATGTAAACCTCTGCAAATTTTACAGCGTCACCCCTTCATCACTACAACAAAAGCCATTTCACCCCCTTTCTGCCACCAAACAGGACACGATCGCCCCACTAACCACAACATTATCTCTATTTGGGTTTACGCATTGCCCGAGCCAGACTCTCTCCCCAGTCCTAGCCTTAGTATCCAGTCTGAGATGCTGTTGCCGTCTCATCGCGACTTGATAAGCGTACCTGTACTGCACTAAGGTTGTCCGTAAAATAACGCGTTGTTGTTTTTTCCATTTGGCCACAAAGTCACTAGACGTGAAGTAAACCCGAGATTGAAAAATTCCACCACGAGTTTTGCGGACTTACCTCCAGCAAGGTACACTGATCACAGTATTTAACCTAGACACACAAATTAGTATGGATTCAAATATAATATGGTCCAGATTAATTGCTGTGACCAGCCCTCCTCCTCTGCTTATCATACTTCCTGATGATATTACGTGGCATCCGTTGTACGACTGTCAGCATGCTTCGACGTCATTCAAGGGTGTGAAATGCAAAACAAAACAGAGCTGTGCACAGACGTATCAAGCTGTCAAGTGGATTCCCTCTTGACAGCTGGTAGATTGTGATACCTGTGATACCATTTCGGTTTTGAGTCTCAAGCAAACCGATCCGTTTACTGTTCGAAACCAAATGGCTTCCGAGGTCCGATCGAACGGGCCTTGGCCACCGCCGCGGCGCACAGGTCGCAGAACGATGCTTCTGCAGACCTGCAATCCGAGAACATGGACGTCAGTCCACAGAATGTTCTACCAGATACTCACCGTCAGCAGCATCTCGTCTCTACTATCGCGCAACGCCTCTCTGTACTAAAATGGACGACGAAAGAAGCAGTCAGTTTTGGCGACACGCAAATCTTTGCAAAGGCCTTGAGGGAGTTTCAGTCGTTGCTTACTGGCAGCTACAAATTCAAGCATGCGAAAGTTTCGTACTAGTGGAAGAGGAGAGATGTGTATCTCGCTATTGGCAGTGACAAACGTCGATCGGGAAATGTAGCTGGTCACTTGCAGCGAGGCCGGAAGCGCTACAATTTCAAAGCAATGCCAGGTCGCGGACGGAAGCAATCGCTGTGGGTTGCTGCTCTCTACCGCGATCTTCGCGCTTAGTTCGATCGTCTCCGAGCTGCAAGTATCAAGATGACCCCTGCCGTCCTTCGGACCATCGCGATTGATTTAGTACAGAACGCGGATGAGCAGAAGCCATATCATCAGTCCGACAATTCCAACAATAATCCACTCGTCGGCAAAATAACGGCACGATAGATTGAGTATTTTACGGTAAAGCACAATCTGGTGATCAGGCGTCATGTCGGAAAGCATTCTGTTAGTCTGGGCAAGCGAAACTTTATTCGAAAGACAGTGGCCTTCCACCTTGGTATGCTCAAGAGGGGGTTTGAGTCAGGGCAGTTCCAGGAGGACCTCATCGAGAATGCGGATGAGACCCATTTTATTTTTAATATGGACAATGGCCGAACCATTGGATTTCGAGGGGAGGAGTGCGTTAAGTATGCGGATGTGGTTTCAGGTGACGACAGAATGATGATGATGGTTCGATTGACTGGGGGAAGGGATGCCAGGTTGGAAACCTCGATGCTAGTTTTCAAGAATTCAAACTGTTCATACCCTATTAGAGCGGTTCCCGACGACGTTCCAGGCGTTTGCTACCGGTCGGGCAAAAAGGGATAGATGGATAGTCGGGTTTTTGTTGAATGGTTGACTGAATCCCGTTCAATGAGGCCACACCCCACTGGTGGGAAAAGAATTTTATTTGTTGACAACTGTTCAGGTCACAATGATAGTGATGCTCTACGCGATGCCCTTGCAAATATCAACACTGAACTCATGAAGTTTTCCCGAATACGACAGATTTGCTACAGCCGGCAGACTCTTTTGTAATCTCGAAAATCAAGGCTGCGTGGAAGAAAAGATGGGATCAGTACAAAGCTGGGCTGATTGTGAGAGGAGAGTAGATGAGAGCGGTTAATGGGCAAAGTGGAAAACTCATTAACCCCGGAAAACGGTTTTTCTTGCAGCTTGCTGCTGCTTCTGTTCGAGACGTTAATGAGCAGAGAGACAGAAACGGTCTCACCTACGCTAGAAAGGCGGTGATTCGAACCGGTTTGGCCCTCAATTGGAACGGTTTGTGGGAGGAAAAGCAGCTGTCCCAGGACCTTCAAGCCATTATTGCGGAACATCGCATGCATTTTGATGGTGAGCCAATCGAATGAAGAGTCGTGGCGATGCGCAAGTTGATTGCATCCAAGTTAAATATATCACCAAAAAATAAAATGGTCCAGCTTATTTGGGAATTCCACAGGAATTGGCCTGGATTCAAAATTAACATGGTCTAGATTATTTGATGTGTGCAACTGGAAATATGAGCTTCAAAATTAACCTGGCCCAGGTTAAATACTGTGATCGGGTGTACCTGCCCGCAACAAACGCAAGTCTGGTGCATCGTTGTGCCGCCCGACGGATCACGTGCACCTGCGCGAATACTCGCTGAAGCGAATATTGTAGCTCGCCACAAGGATAGAAAGGTTCTCAGTCGAAAGGGCGATGTGTTTCGTCTTCTTGACAGGCTGAGGGGAGCCGTTCGGAGAGGACCGCTTTTTAGAAGTTTCTACTTGTCTATCTTTCGCGGTTGCTTCGGCGGCATCTGTGGCAGATCCTGTCGCGCATTGATCCAATGATGGACTCTGCGCAGATGAAGCGATAGGGGCGTCCATGACGCATATCGATACGACCCGTGCCGTCTGAAACTCGTTTGTGCTGATGAAAAGAACGGAGAACCCTCTTCGTTTTCCTTCAAGACGGGTCGATCCGGCACTGCTGTGATCAGGCGGATGTGAAACTTGTGGAAAACTCACATGCCCCGAGTTTTCGATATGCTGTGAGTTTTGCCAAACGCGTTGTTTGAAAGATTTGCGTTTAGAAAATCCGAGCAAACACGCTGTCATACATAACACGCGTTTTCTTGACTTTACGGACAACCTTACTGAATCGTAATTGTACTGTTCACAGTTATCATTTTTCTTGGCACATTCGCCGAAGATGGCTCTCTACTCATGTTTTCAGGAGCCATGTACAGTACTACGCACGACACGTACATACCTGCTCCTTACTCACAGCGCTTTGAACTGTTATCGTTGTACCGTGAAACATGAGCAGGTAATTTCTAATCCTAATCCTAAAACGACTCAAAATTGAGGAGCCGCGCATTTGAAAAAGTCCGGGGACTTGCTTACCTTCACGAAACGTATTACGAAAACTGCATGAATGTCTCTCAGCAAGTTGTAGATTGCTTTAAGCAGATCGTCGTTTAAGTGTGAATATGTTTCACTTCATTTTTAAATATCTACGTAGTAACTAGGTGTGGGCATTGTGTGCCAACCCTTCTCTTCGCGACATCGCAGCCTACGCCGATTCTACTTCTTAAACTACCGTAACCCAAGACTTCTATCCCTATCCCAACCAAGTTTCCCAAGTCTACTGAGAATTCCTAAAGAAGAGGAGGACGTCGTTCCTGACGACGTCACCAGGCCAATTTTTGACTGTATGGCAGATATCAAATCTGACCTTTCGCCACCGGAACTACAATTCCTCATAGCCGACTCAATTCCATCCAAAAAGCCTTCCCGAGACTGTTTGTACGAGCAAGAAACACTAGAAGCAATGCTTGCAGTTCTCACTTTCTCAATCCGTTTCTCAATTGCATCTTCTTCGACCTCTAACCAATGGAAAATCCATTTATCATCTTTCTCAAATGAACTCGTTCCTGAGTCATTCGGAAAGGCTTCTGTGTTCATCTCATCATCCCCAGTGGTATGACCACTCATTCCACTTTCCATCTTGTAATCTGCTGCCCATTTCTTCAACAAACCAGTAATCTCTTCATGAGAAAGGGATTGGTCTGCAATGCTGAGTTTCTCCCTCATCCTTTCCTCAGCCAACCGACGCTGCATTCGCCAGTAGAAGAAAGACCTGGCATTGTGCCATTCGATTACATCTCTAATTGCCTTCTTGGCGAGAAGTCGTCCGGGAGTGTCATGAAGATCACAGAAGGCAGTTGCGACATTGCGATATACAGGAAGAATTTCAACCTCCCGCGCATAGACAGCCTCGTAAATAGCCCGTTTCCGTTCGTCACTTAGGAACCCTCCAGATCGTTTTCCTTCGGAGAGTTCCTGGTCAAGCTTGCGCAACTTGGGGTCAAGTCTATGCATTGTCTTGATGATATTCCTCCTGCGGTATTTCACATCTACAGTTCCTTCTGGCTCTAGGACTCCACCACGGGAATTACTGTCTGCATACATCTCAATCTTCGCCGGGTTGATGAGCGTGTCTAAGACAACCCATGCCCCTCCCCGTAATTCGCCCCCTGGAGGAATATACACAAACACTGGCTGCTTGTATGATCGGAGCGCATCAACAATCTCTGAGCCCGACTTCAAAATCTCATCATACATATCTCTCATTCCTCCTGAAAACCCTCTCCAATTTGCCAGGATGAAGAGTGGAAGACCCTCACGGTCGAAGTCTCTTATCGCGCGGGCCGTCTTAGCGGCTGAGTCCGGATACCAAACCTGTCCGGCCTGAGTGACGACGCATTCTCGGGTCTCTGGCGATGCTGGGTCGGCAGGCGTAACGCGCTCTACTGATCGAGTTTCAACGGCCACAATGCCAGTGGGAACCCCACCCAGCCGCCCTCTCCCGACAACAACGGTTTTTGCCCAACCATCAAGGTACTCCCGGAAAGAATCTTTGTCAAACAAACCACCCAAGAAACGATGCTCTTCGGTAGACGAATCAGACTCTCCAGCAATTAACTTCACTCGTGGGTCATATGCTTGCCCAGTCGACGGAGGTTTCGAGAAAACCGGACGTGCCACGGGGTCCCGAGATTCAATTATTGGCAAGCGGTCACCTCTCACCCTTGGCACGTAGCTCAGCCAGTTCAAAATGGCACTGACACCTTGGACATCATCTTTGACTACTGCATGGGATATGCCGTTAGGAAACATTACCTTTGCGCCGCCAAGTTGCTCATTGCTGAGGTACACTTCGTGTCCCAGAACCTTGTTCAGCGCCGAAAACCCTGTGAGTATTATTGGTGCAGCTGATTTCTTCTGGATGACACGCTGGCCAAGGCGAACAAGATATGCCCCAATTCCAACAGACCTGGCCGTTACGTATGTTAGGGTGAATGTCTCGTCATATGCCTTTGAGGTTTCCCCTGCAATCAAGCCGGATCCCATTAGATTCTCCACTCCCAAGCCATGTTCTTCACCGATAATGTCCACTACTTCGACCATGTCTTCTCCTATTTTTTTTCCAGTCTTAATAAAATTGGCAACATTTGGTAAATCACATTCCTTGACAGCGAGCCTCTTGAAGCCTTTGGACGGCATACTGGGATCAATCCAGTCCACCTGCAGGCATTCACGAATTTCATCAGCAACTCCTATTCGAGCACCGGAATTTGCCGCAAGGTATATGCGAGGTATCCCTTCTTGTCTCGATTTCTTGGAGGCGGCGTAGAATAAAGCGTCTTCGTCCGGACCAAATGATCCACTCCGAAACGTGATATCATTGGCGATGATGATGACTTCCCGACCTTGAGGATACTCTGGCGTCCGAAGGGTACACAGCCAAGAAACCATACCAATGTCATTCAAGCCTGGTTGTCTCTTTGCTTCCACCAGCTGGGGTTCATCGCCTTCATTGCCTGCATGACACAAAACCAGCTCAGTGGAATCAATTAGTGATACAGGGATCTTATGCCGCCGAAATCCTCCCAATAGTCTCTCCTCGGAATAGCGTCGCCATAATTGTTGAAGCTGTTTTGTAAATATTTGAAGGAAATCGTAAACATATGTGGTTTCCATAGCCTGGGCAACTACCCGCCGTCGCTGGATCCGGTCCATAACTGGATATGGTTCGGAAACCAAACTGCCATGCAGAGAACCTGGATTCTGCTGTGATACAGAGATGATTTTCTCAATGCCAGAGTTTCTGTCAGTCGACTCAACGTAACTCTCAACTCTTAGCATGTGTCCTGTGGGATTAAACAATAAAAATCGAAGCGGAATAGTAGTCGAGGGGGTGTCATTTTCCACGACCAGTGCCGCTACCTTAATCTCTACTGCAAACACGCGAAGGCTCCAGCACCGTATCGCATATCTTTGAAACATTCGACGACAGATAGCTTCAACGTCATCAATATCAATCTGGACTGGCGGCACAACATTAAGGAAAATGTGATTGAAATCGGTACGGCGGAATCTTCGATCACAGCTTGCCATTTCTATGGCATCTAATGCTTCTACGAAGGTTCGTTCAGCCTCTGGCATCGAAACAACTGCACCGTCCTTTGAATTCGCAAAAACGTCGGCTTGACGAATTACGGCACGGACAAAAAACCTAGCATCTACATCTCTGTCCACACGGCCGGTCATAGGTTTTGGATCTTCCTGCGGGCAGCCTGTTTTCGTTGGGTTGCTCTTTCCCATCGTCGTCTTACTTTCGATTATTTCGGAGGCGGAGCTGCTCCCAACGCGGTTGGCGGCGGGTGCTTTTTCCTCCACAGATCCATTACGTAAAGGGGGACGCTCGCGGATTGCAGGGCCGCCGCCATGCATTCTTCGTGGAGTAGTCTTGTCTTGTGCAAAGAACACATGGACTGAGCGTGTCGGATATCCGAACCGGTTGATTGAAAAGTTGGATAAACGTGACAGTTCAAGCTGAAAAGCCATCGGTGGATCAATATGGCGATATATGGGATCTTCCTCGAAACCACCCTTCACGCGAAACGTGTAAAACCCAGGATACGTTACAGACTCGTTCGACGGAGCAGGTGCGACGATGAACGTTATTGATTTTAGACCGGCTTTTGCTGCGAGGTCCCGACGAGAACCTTTTGCTTTGCAAAACTGTGACAGCGCCTGGCTCACAACCGACTCAGAAGCAAATGGATCTCGAAGATCATCTCCGTGCTCAACTCCGGACTTTGAATTTCGACTAGACGATTTATCGGAAGTAGACATTGAGTTTGAAAATGCATTCGAGTCCCATCGCAAAAGGATTGTCATCACATTCACATCTCTCTCGGAGGAAACTTCTGATTTGTTAGCATGACTTTCAAGAATACTGTCAAACTCCTCTTCCATCGTTTCCCACTGATTAAATGCGGCGAGCAATCCAACACGGAGAGAATCGTCATTTAGTGGATCGCAGGCTCCCCCAATTGCATTGGAAAGGTTATCAGCCGAATCAAAAGAAGTTATGCCTCTCGGCATCTGGACAGGGTTCTTCACCGTGTTTGAAATATCATTAGCGATAGTGTTGCTGTCGTCCCTCTTCAGAAACCTGAATCGCCACTCTGCTGTTAGTGAGGAATTTGATTGAGCTCCAGTGACGACTTCTAAATTTGTGACTTCATATGCCCGATAAGACCGAAGGAGTTGAATCTTCGCAGCAATCTTCCGAACTGCCGGGGACACATCATCATTGTTAGATGGTAAAACAAACGATACTAAAACATCGAGTATTGACTCGCTCATGGACACCATATTCTGCAGTGCAGATTCTTGTTGGTCTGGGTCACAATTAACAACTTGTTGCAATAGCTTCAATACTGACGAGCGTCTTTGGTGAAAGTGAGGTTTGCGTAAGTCCGCAAGCATCAATCTAGCCCTCAAGGCAATATCAGAATACTCAGGAGCGTAAAGCTGACTCAGCTGGTGAAGCCTGGCCTTGAATTCAGCTGTTTGAGCGTTTTCCTCTGCCAAGACTGCGGCCGCAGATGGCGCGGTTAATGTCTTCAAGAAGCGGACCAACGCACTATTCTTGTCCTTGAGCCGAACGTGAGAGGCGGCAACCTCCACGACTGAGGCCAAATCTCCTTTCTTGGCGTCTCGCAACTCAAACAATGCATCTGCAGCTCCCCCGGTTCTTCTAGCAAAGAGTTTCTCAATATCCAAATATTCATCCAGCATGTGAGCGAGCGTAGTGGCGAGAACGGTCCCATTCGTATACTGACGTGCCACGTTAGCTAATTCTTCAGCCTCTGGAATTCCTTGGCAGGAAAGCAGGATTCGAGAAACAGATAACGACACCAACTGTGCCCTTGCGAGCCATTCCTCGCTGCCCAAATGAACTCCATCATCGGACACAGCGAAACGCCCATGCAGCTTCACGCGCCCGCCGAGATCCTTCGTCTCTGGCACGCCTGCCTTGGCCAGCATTGATCGCAGTTCCGCCTCAATACTTTGTGACACGCGCGTTGGGATTCTTCCAGAGAGAGACGAGAGGACTTCACGTATTTCTCCAGCACAGACCCGGACGTCGTCAATTGCATCCATAAAGTCCTCAAGAGCACTTGGTCTTGCATCAAATCCCCTCAGAAGAAGAATTACATCCCTTTTCGCTGACACGAACTGTTGATGGGGTTTTGAGCCTAGCGCCTGCGGCGGAGCAAAGTTGGGGAGATGTCCGTGAAACAATTCCGCCCGTCGTACTTTGCTTGGGTCATCTAACTCAAGCCTCGCTATGACATCCCCAATTTCTATTGAACTTGCTTCTGGGGCTAGGAGACGAATTCTCCCTGACTCCGGTGTAGAGAGTGTCAAATACATTTTCATGACTTCTAACTCAACATATGGCTGTCCAACTTCAACATGTTCATCACTCTCAACCAAATATCTCACCAGCTTTCCACTCACCGACGATGACAATGTCGTCGGGTCGTAGTCCTTCGGGAATAAACATGTTTTCCCGTCTATTGAAAGTCGAAGACCTGCGGGTTCTTCTCGTGCGTAGCAGACATGGGACCTTCCATTTGCAAGAACGAGCCTTGCTCCATCAGCCAGGGTTCGTAATTCAGCTAGAACACTCGAACTCCCGCCAGCATCTGCGTCGCCATTTTCGGCAAGTCGGACCTTAAAGGCTGAGACGTCAGACCTGGTCACTGTGAATGAATATTTCACATCCTCGTATATTAATTCAACTGGAAACTCGACAAGTGTCTTGTCAAGCGGTGGAAGTTGGCCGCGCTCGAGGCATTTGGTAAACGACTCCGCACGTGCAGAAAAATCCATGTGCGCTCGGCAAACGGCTCCAATAACAACCGCGAGATCAGTTGGTGGCTTTTCAGCTGCTACTTTGTCTGCAATCAGACTGTCTAACCACGCCGTCGTGATGCGGTTTTCCTTGAATGCTTCCATTTCCAGAAGTTTGATGAGGTACTCTACTGTTGTACGGATATCTCCCCTGATAGATAATTCTTTCAGAGCAAGAACCAAAGACCTCCTTGAAGACTCGCGAGTATCGCCCCAGGCAAATAGATGGCCAAACTGAGAATCCGCGAACTCGTGGACCCCTCCTGATGCGCCAACGCTAAAGTAGCCCCAAACATTCGGGGTGTTTCGGAACGTCAACTCCTGAATTGCGCCTGATGTTGGCTGGAAGCCCTCGTCGGGATTTTCAGCCGTGACTCTGCAAGCGATAACATGGCCGTGTGGAGGAACGGGAGAATCAATGTGCAACTCTTCCAAGCTGTCCTTGTCCCCAACGTGAAAAGGAGTACTGGTTGATTTAAAGGGAGAGGTGGTTGTTGGGTGGACATGGGGCTCTGACATAGGGAGCATCACTTCAGGAAGCCCGAGAAACTTGCGAATAGTAGCGACATTCTTAAGCGGTATTCCCATGCCGATGTGCAGCTGCAAAGCTGGAAGATTTACCCCTGTGATCCACTCAGTAACAGGGTGTTCGACTTGCAATCTTGGATTCAACTCAAGGAAATAAAACTCGCCGTTCTCCTTATCCCCCTTGTAGAGATACTCCACTGTACCTGCACCCACGTATCCCACTTCTTTTGCAAGGGCGATCGCAGCTCTCTCCAAACCCTTCCAAACGGCTGGAGGTGCGGCGACCACAGGACCTTCCTCAATGATTTTTTGATGTCTTCGTTGAACAGAGCAATCACGGCCATAAAGCGCTATGGCATCTCCAGTCTCATCTGCTACGATCTGAACTTCTAAATGCCTCGCGTCCTGAACGAGGCGCATGAGAAATATAGGACTACCGGGGACCTCGCTCGCAACTTGACGATATGCAGCGCAGATAGCATTTTCTTCGAAAACTACACGTATTCCCTTTCCCCCACCACCTTCGGAGGCCTTCACAACAAGAGGATATCCTACCTTCTCCGCAACTCGCCTTGCGTGATCCGCAGAAAGAATGCATGCCTCTTGATAGACATCATCCGGTACAGAACCCAAATCTTTGTAGTCAACTGTAAGATGTGAACCCGACCAAGCAACTGTGGGTACATTTGCAGACTGCGCAATGATAGTGCTAGCGATTTTGTCCCCTAGAGCGTACATGGACTTTGGATTTGGCCCAAGAAAGGTAATACCCATACTGCTAAGCTTGGCAGGGAGGTCCGGGTTCTCAGAGGCATGACCCCAGCCAGCCCAGACAGCATCGCACGAAAAGCGATCCGCTATGTCTGTGATGAGGTCCACATTTGCAAAGTTGTGGTTGTTTGATCCTCCCGGAACCGACGTCCACATGTCAGCCATGCGAACATACTCGGCATTCGCAGAGACGTCTTCTGGGGTTGCCATGGAAACAAACTCAACGGCACGCTCATTTCCAAACGTCTCATAGCTCCATCGACGGATGCTGCGAATGGCTTTGACAGCCGCGATACCATTGTTCGCAATAAGGATCTTTCGGATAGACCGCTTGCCCTCGAGCGACTTGACGTAGTCGTCAATGGGATGCTTTGAGTCTCGCTCTGCGTTCGCCAAAGATGGCGATTCATCGTGTGTTCTCGTCATGAATGTGTACAGAGACGCAGGGGTACACAACGGAGAGATGGAGGATGGTTATCACGACTGAGTCATGAGGTCAATGACACCTCATCAACCGTAAAATTTGTCAAACAAAATACGGAGTTGTTCGCGATTGAAGGTCGTCCACTGCAAACTAGAGAATAAAGAGGAGATAGGTTGACTGATGCGTGGAAGAGAGCGGCTTTCAGGGGCCGCTGTTGCAGTAGGCAAACCAGTTGTCTGGGTTGAGAAAAGAAGTGGATCGAAGCGGAAGCAACGTGACGCCCTGGCAGAAATTCCTTGGGAGAGCATCGCGGGGTGACCGCACAATCATCACTGTGACCAATCATGGACCGGCGCAATGGCAAGGAGACATCACAGAGGCAAATTGACCGGCCCTGTTGACCGCAATCTCCACATATGGCTGCTTGGCGAAAAAGCTAGATTTTCTGATTTTTGAGCCGCAAGGACAGTCGAAGTAGATTGCTAATCCAATTCCCCAGAGTAAGATGTATTTACTTTGATAGAAAGCCTCATCCGCCGATTCGAGGGCCCTTGCAAGTGGCGCCACTCACTTCCCAGCAGACCTGTGATGCGTGACGTGTGACGTGTGACGTGTGACCGACCCTGTATTTCAATCCCATCGCCGTAAAATTTAGTGTCAAAAACATGTGTTGAATCCTGACATACACAGAACGGCCCTGTCACAATCAACAGGAAAAGAAGCCACAGCAAAATAGTCAGAACTCCTGTTTCCCTCCCATCTGGGTTGAATTCAAGAGCATACGTACTGTGCACCCTGCTACAGTCAAGCACACCGAGTAGTGCACTCCCATGCAAGGTTCCAACAACATGCAATACTCGCATCTTGCACTAATGAATGGGGTCACACAAAATACTCGTTTACAAGCGTCTGGCGCCTCTCGGAACGACTCTGCTCAGCGTGTGCAGTTAGCAACGCGCGCTTTGCACGGTGCAAATGACGAACTGCATCCTCGATACCCGAAATGTTCACCATTTCCTCCACTCCCGTAAAGCAGGCAAGTACTTCCTCAAAACCTGGAATAACACACTCATTTGATTCTATCCCTTTGGTTCCATCTGCACTCGTCTTTTCATGCTGTGTTGTGGTTGTGTCGGTGCCCTTGCGTGTCACTGGAGTAAGACGGAGAGGATCTGTGGGGTCTGTTGGAAAGGATGATCCGTTTACTGTTGGGCATCTTCGTCGGCCGCGTCCCCGTCTTGGACAGGTGTCCAACAGCAATGCAAGGTATGATAACCTGTGTTCACCGAAAAACCCCTGCATTACTCACTCGTGGAATTACTCAATTCGGCACTATTGGGCGAGTCCTCTCTGTATGAAAAATCTATCTTTGCTTTCCCTTCATGACTTTACGCATGGCTACAGTTCCATGAATAATTGCGCGTTCCGGCCACTGCACAAAACCTTCTCTTCATGTTAAGCATACCAGCTTGTCCACATACCCTTGGTACCTCCCAGAAATATTTAGAAAATGCATGCCTCTGAGCTTGTTAAATTGAACACCGCAGTTATATAACTTCGGCTGAGATATAGATCTCAGCCCGATACGTCTACTGTATAATACAAGATTGATGCTTCCACTCGTGATCACAACAGCAACGTTTGGTTATATTGCCTCGGTTGACATCAACCTTATTTTCTTTTTGCATAGTTATGCATGTCATTAATTCACATACAACCAACTCAGTTGCTGCATCTCCCTACTAGCAGACCCCCTGTAGCACATATAAATATATATATTTCCTACCACCGACCACCGTGTAATAGGAGACCGCTTCCCCGCCGTCCGTCGTTCCCTCCGATATGAAAAGCAAAACAGACAAAACTTGATTCTGAGGGTCTGACACCGAAGTAAAGTTGAGGTTTTCAGCAACACTGGCCAATGCAATAAGACGCCACAACCTTTTCATACTGATGTCGCTGCAGCGGCACACAAACCCAGACCTAAACGGAAGTTTGCAGTACCAGCAAGGAGCAGAGAACGCTTTACAACTGCTCAAAAGACTAACGTCGACATCTTCTGTTCAAATCTCGGGATTAAGATTTGCGAGGCTTCCCCGAATATCTCCTTATGAGCCCGTATACCTCGGTACTTTCCTCTTGAATAAAGATGTGAAACAGCAGCCAAGCAGAGCATGACATTTGCAAAAGAAAACGAGTCGACACGGCCGAAATAAAATCTGACCTCTCCTCAATGGTGCCTCTCCTGCCCCGCCTCCCTTGCATGTTAAAAGCAATTCGTACAGCAATCTGCGTCCGCGCATCCGTATAGACAAGCGCCCAAACAAGTAGCGCCACAACAGTCGTTGCAGCAGTTGGTGCAGTCAGCCTGTGCCATCTGGGAATTCGTGTCAAGAGCGGCCATGTCAATCGGGTTTGGAGGGCGGGTCTTGGCTGATTCGTCGGACTGGTTTGGGTCAGACATGGTGGAGGTCCTTGCGTGATAGGGAAGAACCTGAATACAATTGCTTCTGGTTGCAGTTCGCTTAAAGGGAAAGGTCGTGGTGGGGAAAGGTATCGACACGGAGTGGAGAATATGTATCGAAGAGATGACTCGCGCAATATGTACAGTAGATGAGTATGGTTCGTTCTGTTTTGACAGCGAGATGACTACAGAGTGATAGGGAGGTTGGAAGTGGAGCTCACTAGTGAAAGAAGTCATGGGTTGCTGGATCTTCCATCCGTGCGACAGGAAATCTTGCCTCTGCTATGACCGAGAAACGGGTTTTCAAAATCACGCCGAAAGAGGAACACAGTCATCTCTGCGCAAGTACCCTGAGGGTACTGTACGTTCTTACGGTACAATTGTAATTTAACTTGATGCTGTATCGTACTAACGTTGTCCGCAAAGTAAACGCGTGTTTTTGGTTGCAGAAACCAAAACTGGTGGGTCGCAAAGTAAATTATAAAACTGGAAATTCAACCACGAGTTTTCATAAGCCGTGTGCAGTGCACACGGCTTACGAAAACACACTGTGCAGCAGGCCTTCTCGATGTCATAATCAGCCTGGAAGGCGCTTCAACCCATCCTCGTGTGCAATTTCGTACAGCCCAAATTCAGTACCCTTCTCACAGGCTCAATGTGGGACGCATAAGAAGTTATGATAAATATGCGAATGCAGTGCGTATTCGAAGAAAATTGCCTTTTATTTGGACGGGAGAATTGGTCTCCAAAGTGTGCCGGGGTCAAAGTGGGACGACGAGAAATTTCATGTCTTGCACGCTTCATCTGTAATGGGAGAGAACCACCAAAGCCGACGCTGCCGTGTGCTTGCGGGTCCTCAACAACTCGCCTTCCTCAACCTGCATCCGCTGTGTTCGGGCTCTTGGCCATTGCGAAATTGGCAAATCGTCGCAAACTACAGTGCGCGAAACTGAAATAAATACACCCATCGAGGCACACATGAACAACACTTCCCAACTCCCTTTTAAAGAATCGTGTGTTGTACAGTACCATGGCCAAGCAGTAGGAACGCACGTGAAGACCAATTGACCTCCAAGAATACCGTTCTCAAGCTAGACCTCTAAAACCGCGCGAAATTGGCATAAATACGCGAAATTCCATATAGCACAGTACCTTGAAGGCGCCAAAACATGAGCACAATGCACTATATAACGCCTTCAACAGTAGTAACTCGGCTTGTAAGAGTAGCTTGTGAAACTGCCGGTGATCTTTCCAACTATTACGACAGGTACTATGCCCCGCGGGCCTGCTATTACCGACATTGAGCGCGGCCAGATATTGGCGCTTCATGCAGAATGTGTATCATTTAGAGGCATTGCTGGCATTGTAAATCGATCTGTTGGTGCTGTACAAGGTGTGGTTCGTCAAGGTTTTAAACATAACCACACAAGGCAGTGGAAGGGAAACAAAAAAATATCTGAGACACAGAGACTGGCAATCATCCGAATGGCCCTAAAGGGAGAAGAAAGTGCAAGAACGATACAGGCTGAGCTCAAACTACCCATTGGCCATAGACGTGTTCAGCAAATACTCAGCGCCGTACCCTACTTAAAGTATAAAAATGATAACAGCACCACAAATGACCGCTCTACACAAAGAAAAAAGGGTGAAATGGTGCCGTAAGTTCATAAGCAAGGGTGAGGAATTTTGGAATTATGTGGTGTTTAGCGATGAAAAGAAGTTCAACAATGATGGCCCTGATGGCTTGGCATCCTACTGGCGTGATTTAAGCTCTAAATAGCGCATGTTTTCCAAAAGACAAAATGGTGGGTTTTCGGTCATGGTTTGGGGAGCCATTAGTCTTTATGGAGTATCTCCGCTCATCTTTATGGACGGCAGACAAGATTCTATCAAGTATGTTGATGTTCTACGTAGTGGTTTGCTGCCGTTCGCGTCGGAGGTATTTGGTGAAGCGCAGCGTTGTTTTTATCAACAAGATAACGCACCGATTCATACGTCGCGTTTTACAAGGAGCTGGCTATCTGAGCACGCCATTTCTACCCTACCGTGGCCCCTGAAGTCCCCAGACATTAACATTATTGAGAATGTCTGGGGTGTGATGGCTAGGATAGTTTATGCCAGAGGTAAGCATTACCAGAATGTCCAAGATTTGAAGGTAGCTATCGAGGAAGTTTGGTCTACAGTAGGTTCTGAGCTTTTATTGACGCTTTACAAGAGTCTACCGCGTCGTATACATGCGGTTATGGACGCGCGTGGCGTCGCAACAAAGTATTAAAGACGTGTTTCTGTTTTGTGTCATATCAAATTTCGCGTATTTATATCAATTTCGTGTAGTTTTTTAAACATAGATCGACAACCGTGCTTGGTATGGTGGTTTGGAAGTGACAGGTGTTAATATCGGCGAGTGCTTGCCCCGCATACGTGGCAGCTTCGAGCAGACCCCACAAGAAGTGCTAGAATGTTTCTCGTCGATGGTGTATTTATTGCAATTTCGCGCACTGTATGTCTTCGAGAGGCAACACCGCAGACTGCGCTTTCAGACGTTTCTGAGAGTCCCTTTTTTTGTTTGCAGTATCATTCTCTACATTAAACTCCTGAATGTGATAAACGTTGGGTACGGGCGCTTTTGGAGGATTCTGCCCCTCCAAACGAGCACGAACGGACTGCAAATTGCCAACCGTCGCTGCGTTTCCTGTTGCGAGGAATTTTCTATTAGATTTCTTAGGTGTGGGGTTCTTTGACAGGCATATATTCTTTCTCAGAATGTTGCGCAACACATAATCATTATTGGGAGCGATGGAAACCTCTGCAAAAGCATGAGCAGAAAACTGACCGTTTGTAAGAGCATGAGAATATGTTTCATCAAACGAATATATTTAATTCGTTGCGAAATAGTTTAGCAAAATCATATCCCGACAGTTTTTTCATGCATACGAAATATCGTATACAGAACTTTGAAGTGTCATAACTGAGCTGCATCGCCATCCTCAGTGCTGTGCTTCAAGCTATGCCCTCCTTGGATGGCAACAAAAGGCCCTATAGCATTACTTTTAAAGGAAATATCGTGTATCGAAGGCCTCTGGAGGGCATATTGGACATCCGTATTGACCCCAAAATTAGCCTTGTATACGATAATTCGTATATAAGGATTGTCTGTTGTGATGGCAAAGATTGGAAAAAGAGAAGTCCCCATCCATTTCGTTAGGCTCAGATTACTTCTATTTGCTACCTTTGCCTTTAATCTTCATTAGAAAGCGCAATCAAGGACTCACATCTATCTAAACAGGCCAATTGAAGCACATGTTTATCAATTGAAAAGTCTTTTCATCTATTGTTGGTGATGCAAGCGCAATAAACACTGTTCTACGTACGTCTCCTCCTCTTCCTGAGGCTAGTCCTCGCTGACGCTGTGGCTTCCCGGTTTTCATTCTCACTGGGAGGGAGTGAATCAACATTTAGGCTCGGAATCTCAGGGCGCCTGGCTTCGCTCTGATCAGGTGTAGTAGAATGCCGAGACGAATTACCGAACCTGTTTTTGTGGGGACTCGTCGCACGAGGGGTAAGAGTCGTTGTATTATGCCAGATATTCCAGCAACTCACTCTCTGTCCTGTATGCGTCTTTGTACATAAATGTACATGACATGTCCCGCACTTAATACCAGTCCGCCTTCCACGCCATTTGTCCTCATTATGCTTCACATTTCCACACAAAGCACACCACACGTCTTTCCCTGTAGAGCAAGGCGGGTGCTCTTGCACATTAATTCTAAGCTTTCGTCCGCTTTGATGATTGAACCACAACAAACGACACCGCTTCCTCAATAAAGCTTTTCGGGACAACTCCTTCTCGTCTTCATCCCCTATAACTACTGTGACAGTGCCACTGTGATCACCTCCCTCTCCATTTTGTTCGTTCTTTTGTAGGTTGTCTGCATGTTGTAGTAGATCCCCAGATACATCAGCAATAAAATCTGCCAACGACTGGCATCGGTTGAGAGCGTCTCTAAATTTATCAAGACCGCCAAAAGACGAAGCAGAACAGAGCAAATCCTTGCACCCCAACATTCGCCAAGCAAGAAAAGCATTGACCCCAACCGTCTTCAGAACTTGGGTAACGATTTTTTGCTCCCACTTTAAACTTTGGGTAGAAGCACGCATGTTCGCCCTATACTGCGTTGCCCCATTAACACCCCCTTTCGTACGAGAGTATAAACTTTGCGCTCCGTGTCTAAATTGCTTGATGTAGTATAATCACCCCCAACGACGAGGGGGGTGAGTACTGACAGTTCGGAAAGACCCCGATCGGCGGGAAGACAGAAGCACGGCCCACCCACGGTACCGAGCACGGGCTCGAGGTAGCGGTGGTAGAGCGGGATCGGGGAGGACGCGCGCACGCGCGAGCGGTTCTACGCCTCGACGCCCCGGAGCGGTACTGGGTGACGTTCCAGTACCGACGGGCGGAGGCGGAGCCGGCTCGTGGGCGTGCTACGCGCGTCCTCAACCCGCACGCGGTGCTGCTTCTAGGTAAAACGGACGGAAGTACCTAAAAGTAAGCGGGCGGACCAAGGTGGAGGATCCTTGACAAGTCCGTGCTTGTCGTCCTCCACCGCCGGCGGTCCGCTCATATTTAATGTACATCGTAGTCTATCATAACTCTACAGTAGTGCCGGTCTACCGACACTGTAGCGCTGTCAGCCGGCGGGGCTGACAGTCCACGTGTAGTACGCGTCCCGTACACGTGGAGGACACGTGTGTGCGCACATGGCTGTAAGGCTCGTTGCCTTACTGTCCCTGATCCAATCCTAATCTAATTTGCGTTTGGGGTTATACCACATCACCCCCCCCTCAAGAGTGAACGTCCGCGTTCACTCCTGAGGCTTGCAGAACCTGTCCGTCCCACTCCCTGAACCCCGAGCAGATCCGACCTGGTATACGAATTTCCCCCCCCCTTTGCGCACTGTCCCACTTCGTCCTTGACAGCGCCATTTGGTCGTCCCCTCTCGCGTCACCGCCCGTGTCAGCATGGCCGACCCGCGGTCTATTCCTCTCCGGCAGTCACCCCCGGGCGTCGTGAAGCCAACTATGGCGGAGGCGGTGGCCGTCGGGACCCCGCCTTCGAGCGGGCTCGGACTCCCAAGTGCGTCATCCGGACCGCGTGGGGGTGGCGTCGTCCTGGCCCAAGCGGGTCCGCTCCCTCCGCCGGGTTTCCAGAAGTCCCGCTCGCGGTCCACGACCGT